AATGCCAAGGTCCGTTTCGGCGGGTGGCGACACCTATGTTTCTCTAAAATAAAATATTTCCCCCTTAAACTACCCGTGCCTCCTTCTTACAGAAAATCAGAATTCGTATAATCATGATGGCATCCGTGTGAAGAAATAGAAATAGAAAACCCTAAACAAAATAAGATAGAAATAGAAATAGATTTTCCTCCCCCTTACCCGCGCCTCCTGTAGTTCGACGTTTGAGTGGCATCCGTGTGAAGAACATTTTTTCCCTTTTAGATGATCCTAGCGTAGATATAATCATACTGCACTACTGCCTTTCAAAAGGTAAATGAAAACCCCTTTCTCAGATGATTAAACGTGATTGCTTTTTCCCTTTGGACTTGAACCTGTGATGGATTTGTCTTTTTGGTTCCTTATGTGACATGCTTCTAATTGATACTTTGATAATTCCCTGCCTTGTATTTATCTCTCACTCTCCATGGACCCAGTTTGTGGCTGCCTAATTTCCTGATCTTATAAGAGAGGCCCACATGAGTGATTTTTGACGATGGCCTGTTTCTGGTTTAGATTTTGCATTTTGAAGAAGTGGACCTTTTCCTCCTCGGTAGATTGATACCTTTGTCAATACTCTATTCATAATTAATTCACTCAGACCATTTATTAGTTAAAATTCATGAGCTCCAGTAGAAGAAATAAGTCTCATTCCCTTTTTAGCATACCTTATTCCCTATTTAATTAATTCTATGCGAATTTCAACTATTAATAAAAAAAATGCATTAAAAAGGTGTCAAATAGTATTTTGTTTACATTTTTCTTTCTGCATATTACCTTTTTCGTCAGCGTGATAACAACACATGTAGAATAAATTTTATTACAAGTAAAATGTTTGGGTTGTATCGCCTTTATAATACTAAAATGACATTCTAAAAAGTATCAAACTAGAGGCATATAATGGTGTATCATGTAGAAGGATTAGGGTAGAAAAATTGCAGCCTTAGTAGAGAAAAGAACAAGGCTTGTTTGTTAAGATGAAACTTCATTGTATTTGAATACGCAGTCATACAAACGCCCCCCAAGAAATTGAGCTACCTTAGGATGTTTCACCTAAGAAACAAATAAGGGATCATTAGAGATCAAATTTTCATTATTGCAGGCAGTTAAAATAGTGAATGGTAACGTGTATTACCATTCCAATGTTTGAGGGAATCACATTTAAATTGAGCATAGAGATTTGTTTCTATTCCACGGCCCTGTCAAAAGAATAAGATTAGTAAAAAATATGTCTGCAATAGATACTTTGTTATAGAGGTTCATGGAAAAGGGGGAAATTAAGTTTCAAGGAAGTGATTATACCAATATACTAAGCAACCAAAACCAATACAAGTAATTTATACATTAAGTACTGCTAGACAGAACTACACTAGATATTTGACCCTGGATTTTCATATTTGACATTGGATTTTTACATGCAGATTCGACAAATATTTGACTCTATTTCATTCCAGAAGCTATATACCAAATGCCTTTTAAATCAATGACCTTCTCTGCCTATTGGAAGGCCCAGTTCTACCCGTTTGTGTGCATGGGACGTATCTTGCGTGGTTTCACTATCCTGACGAGACCCTAGCAGTACATATTTCTAGTTGAGAGTGCGCGGTTGAGCCGACATGTACTCCTAGACTACTCCAAGTATGTTGCTTCGGCAGAGAAATTTGTGTACTCATGTGTAGTGTGCCAGAAGTCTAAGGTAGAACAGTAGAAGTCTTTAGGACTTTTACAGCTTTTAGACGTCCCATCTTGAAGTGAGATGGTGTGTAGATAGACCTTGGTTGTAGGTTTGCCTAAAGATGCTTAAGAAATTTGATTCTTTTTGGGTTATAGTGGATAGACTCACCAAGGTTGCTCACCTTACCCTTATTGATATTAGATATTCTTTAGGGAGATTGATAGAGTTGTACATCAGTGAGGTAGTGAGGTTACACAGGATTTTCTACTAGTATAGTTTCTGATGGGAAATATTTAGGAAAGTTCTACATGGGAATTAGAAAGCAAGATGCGAGGAGCCTACCTATTTCTGTTTTCAAGTAAATTTTGGGGACAAAATTTCAAAATGGAGGGGAGAATTGTAACACCCCAATTTTCACAAATTATATGAAGGCTCAAAGCCCAAATAAGGGTGATTTAGTAGCCTAGAACAAGTTGTTCCCAAACTGGAACGGGTCGTTCCAAATTACTAAAAAGGCCTATAACCCTAGTTGGGAACGGGCCATTTTGGTTTAAGAACGGACTGTTCCAAACATGGCCGTTATATGTTAAAACTCAACCCCAGAACAGGCCATTCTGGTTTAAGAACAAGTTGTTCTAGATGTGAACTTTACATATGATGAATGAGTCCAGAACGAGCCGTTCTAGATCTGAAATGGGTCGTTCTGGCCACTCCTGACATCTATAAATAGCAGACTCTAGCACTATTTCTGGACACACTCTTTGGAGGCCAAGGGGAACCAAGAGAAGGAGATTAGCCAAATTCTACTCTAGCTTCATCTTGTGCTTATCCAAGTAAGGGGGAGTGAGAAACCTCGCTTAGGGGTGTGAGAATAATTGTTGGGTAGTAGGATTGGCCCCCAATCCCTTTCCAGATGCATGTTTCTAGGAACAAAAAACTCACTCAACCCCTTCTCCAATAGCATATTGTTTCTTCTTGCATGTGAGTGGTCACATCTGTTCCTTCGTAAAGAGTTAAAAATCTTAATATTTTGAGTGGTGGAAGGAAGCGGATCAGAATCTGGTTTCTTGGTCTTTTTCAAGTTTGGCAGATTGTGGCTTATTTTTTCCTTTCTCTCCTTACTATCTCCTATCTCCTATCTTGATAAGGATCCCATCGTGGACAATGATCATTCCTACCTATACTTGCATCACCAATCTAACATGAACCAGCAGTAAGGTATTCATTTTTTTCCTTCATCCAATTGTAGAAATACATGTCTAAACTATTTAAAGCTCATATGAAAGTGGGGTACTATGATAGAAGAAAACACAGCATATGCTGATGTTAATGCTTTTACTATGATGCAGCATTCAAGGCTTTTATATTATATATGTGTTGGGGTAGTAAGGGTGTCACACCCAATCTGATTAATTAAAGGCTCAACCTACTAAATCAACTATTTACATCACCAAACAAATCCTAACATTACAATCTAAAAACAAACAGAAAATACTACAAAGGGTTGCAACCTTGCAACGCATTTTTGGGTCCCTTAAAATTTGAACTGGCATTTACTCCCAACAAAGAATTTCTATAACTCTTCTTTATCTTTCCATAGATATCAAGAATGTCCAAAACTACTATCAATAGCTTCAAATATGGCTTGTACAAGAACAAAATGTAAAAGTGGGTAAAAATCTAAAAATTGAGTAAAAATTACAACAATCATCAAATAATACAAAGGTGAAAAAAAACAAATAAATGCATACAAATCCAAAATTACTACAAAAAAAATGTTAAATAATAGAGGTTATTTTGTGGAGGTTTTAAAAACCTCCTGTAATTATTAAATTAGGTGAAAAAACTACAATTTTTTTATTTAATTTACGGAAGTTTAAAACCTCTTCTAATTAAATAATATTTTCCCGCTTAAATCCCGTTTTTCTCTAAAATAAAATATTTCCCCCCTTAAACTACCCGCGCCTCCCTCTTAAAGAAAATCAGAATTTGTATAATCATGTTGGGCATCAGTGCGAAGAAATAGAAATAGAAAACCCTAAACTGAATCCGCGCCTCCCTCTTACCCGCGCCTCCTGTAGTTCGACGTTTGAGTGGCATCCGTGTGAAGAACATTTGTTTCTTTCTTAGATGATCCTTCCGTAGATATAATCATGCTACACTGCTGCCTTTCAAAAGGTAAATGAAAACTCCTTTCTCAGTTAAACGTGATTTCTTTTTCCGTTTGGATTTGAACCTGTGATGGATTTGTCTTTTCGGTTCCCTATGTGACATGCTTCTAATTGATACTTTGATAATTCCCTGGCTTGCATTTATCTCTCACTCTCTGTGGACCCAGTTTGTGGCTGCCTAATTTCTTGATCTTATAAGAGAGGCCCACATGAGTGATTTTTGATGATGGCCTGTTTCTGGTTTAGATTTTGCATTTTGAAGAAGTGGACCTTTTCCTCCTCGGTAGATTGATACCTTTGTCACTACTCTATTCATAATTAATTCACTCAGACCATTTATTAGTTGAAATTCATGAGCTCCAGTAGAAGAAATAAGTCTCATTCCCTTTTTAGCATACCTTATTCCCTATTTAATTAATTCTATGCAAATTTCAACTATTAATAAAAAAATGCATTAAAAAGGTGTCAAATAGTATATTGTTTACATTTTTCTTTCTGCATATTACCTTTTTCGTCAGCGTGATAACAACACATGTAGAATAAATTTTATTACAAGTAAAATGTTTGGGTTGTATCGCCTTTATAATACTAAAATGACATTCTAAAAAGTATCAAACTAGAGGCATATAATGGTGTATCTGTAGAAGGATTAAGGGTAGAAAAATTGCAGCCTTAGTAGAGAAAAGAACAAGGCTTGTTTGTTAAGATGAAACTTCATTGTATTTGAATACGCAGTCATACAAACGCCCCCCAAGAAATTGAGCCACCTCAGGATGTTTCACCTAAGAAACAAATAAGGGATCATCAGAGGTCAAATTTTCATTATTGGGCAGTTAAAATAGTGAATGGTAACGTGTATTACCATTCCAATGTTGAGGGAATCACATTTAAATTGAGCATAGAGATTTGTTTCTATTCCACGGCCCTGTCAAAAGAATTAGATTAGTATTTCATATTTGACGATGGTCTTAGACCATTTTTTTTGGGAGGTAATTGTTAGACTATCATTTGTCCATGACCTCAGGGCTTTTTCAGACCGTCATGTATAATTTTTTTTTTATTATTATAAGAAATAATGTTATAAAACTTTGATGTACAAGATGCTGCCATAGTTACTCTGAAGATTATAATACAAAGTCACTTTTTAAGTTAACTGTTCTGTAGAATTAGAAACAAAATCTTTGTAGTGTGCTTGGATATTAGCGAATATTGATTTTACCTCAAAATCATGGTGATATTGCGAAAAAGTAGAAATAATTATTTATTGTTTTAGCTTTAACTTGGAGAGTTAATTTATTTTTTTCTTACCGAAGTTGTTTAAAACACACTAGTAAATCTGCAATAGATACTTTGTTATAGAGGTTCATGGAAAAGGGGGAAATTAAGTTTCAAGAAAGTGATTATACCAATATACTAAGCAACCAAAACGAATACAAGTAATTTATACATTAAGTACTGCTAGACAGAACTACACTAGATATTTGACCCTGGATTTTCATATTTGACATTGGATTTTTACATGCAGATTCGGCAAATATTTGACTCTGTTTCATTCCAGAAGCTATATACAAAATGTCTTTTAAATCAATGACCTTCTCTGCCTGATTATAGTGGATTGGTAATTATCTTTGTATACGGGTTGGTTGGTTTTTTTTGTACCATATCAACTTTATTGCTAAGAGATGCGAGTCAGAGTAGTATTCTTGACTTCCAAATGATTAGTTTCTAAGAAGTATATTTGTGTTAAGGTGGCTTTCATCCCATATATCACAGCTGGTGATCCTGACCTTTCAACCACAGCAGAAGCGCTGAAAGTGCTTGATTCATGTGGGTCTGACATAATTGAGCTAGGTGTTCCATACTCTGATCCTTTGGTAGATGGTCCTGTTATCCGGGTTTGGTGCTTTCTTCTTTTTCTTGTGATATCTAGTACTGCCTGATTCTCAAATTGATGCATTTTTCTTCCCAGGCTGCTGCTACAAGGTCATTAGCAAAGGGGACCAATCTTAATGCAATTTTTTCTGTGTTGAAAGAGGTGAATTTGCGCAACTCCTTGTCATTTATTAATTATAACTGTTAAAAGCTAATAAGTAATGAGCTCTACTGCAGTGATTAATTTTCATTTCTTCAGTTGACCAGTTAGCTGTGCAAATATCCAAAGTTGCGATTTGTTATGAAATTTGAATGAGTGATGCCTTTTCATCCTCTACCCCTGCTTTTACTTGAATAACCTGTACTGATTCAATTGACTTAAGCAATGCTCTATGGTACATCAATATATAGAAGGAGGATGCCTTTCCATCCTCCTTCTATGGCACAACCCAATGCATTGCGTCCGTCTCCCTTTTTTCATGGGATCTTCCCCGCTTTAGCCTGAAGCAAATAGTAGATGCAATCAATGTTTTTTGGCTTAAAGATGGACATGAAGCCACTTCCACGTTATCTGTTAGATTCTTTTATTATGGTGCCTACTTTCTAGTTTAGTTTACAACATTTAAAATTAAAGTTTCTTAAGTACATGAGAAAAATGACATTATGATCTTTTCTTATTTCATTTGGTTATGTTGGTATTAGTGATTTGTATGTGGTTATCTAGAAACAAACCTCCTAGTTGAATAAGATCAGTATTGACAGTAAAGGTTTTGTTAGAATATTTAATACAATTATATATCAAAGATTTAAACTCAAAATTTACAGTTAAAATAATTTCACATGTGTTGATTCAAGCCTTGAATGCTGCATCATAGTAAAAGCATTAACATCAGCATATGCTGTGTTTTCTTCTATCATAGTACCCCACTTTCATATGAGCTTTAAATAGTTTAGACATGTATTTCTACAATTGGATGAAGGAAAAAAATGAATACCTTACTGCTGGTTCATGTTAGATTGGTGATGCAAGTATAGGTAGGAATGATCATTGTCCACGATGGGATCCTTATCAAGATAGGAGATAGGAGATAGTAAGGAGAGAAAGGAAAAAATAAGCCACAATCTGCCAAACTTGAAAAAGACCAAGAAACCAGATTCTGATCCGCTTCCTTCCACCACTCAAAATATTAAGATTTTTAACTCTTTACGAAGGAACAGATGTGACCACTCACATGCAAGAAGAAACAATATGCTATTGGAGAAGGGGTTGAGTGAGTCCTTTCACTTGAGTGTGGCGGAGGAATAAAGAAAGAATAGAGAGAGTATCTCTTCTCCAACACTTATTTCTCCTTTTAAACCGTTTCGCTTTCCTGAAATTGATGAGAGGGACATGATGGACCATGGTAAAATTCTCATGTCAATCATTGGGAATTTTTCTCTCTTAATTTGTTTCCCTCTTTTGGTCACTTGCTTTCATTATTCTCTGTGCACCATGCCTTGCCACAGTAACCATGTTTGTTGCATTTCTGGTACACTGCTGGTTCCATTGGTTCCTAGAGGTAATTTTTTGTTGGTGTGCATATGAGAGGGAAATTATCTATATGGTTTTGGTTTTGGTATACATTCTCCAATGTTGCATTGCTACTTTTAGGATGATATAAATTAATCTTTGTTTTCCATTGCTTGTAGCAGTTTCAGGCTACTATACCATTTTCTACCTTTACTGATTTTCCTATAAATAAATATAAAAGAAAACTAAGAAAGAAAATAAGGGTATAATTAGTGACCTTGGTTATTTGTTTTGAGCCACGAAGTAATGATATGGCGGGAACATGCATGGCTATTTGGCTGTAAAAGCTGTCGCAGGACAAATTTGTTTAGCACAATTTGAAAATCCAAGAGCAAATTATGATAATTAGTAGCTATTATGATAATTAGTAGCTTCTGCAACTGGTTTATCCAAAGAATTTTGCTTGTTTTAGACAATAATAATAAGCGCTTAACCCCCCTTTGAATGAAGTTAAGATCATATATATGACAACCCTAGCATCACCTTCGATTTTTTATTTTTTTTGTAATGGATTTTCGTGACTTGTCACTACAAGAAATGTGATTTTTTGTGACTAACAATGATGAAAGTAAAACTTGTCACTAATAATATAATATTAGTGACTAAATTTTATTTTGTCACTAGTGTTATTTACAAGTGACAAAAAAAATAAGTTGTCAATATAATATTATTAATAGTGACTAAAATATTTTTGTCACAAAAATTTGACACTAATATCTATAAATTTTGTTTTCTTAACTTAAAATCTGTCACTAATACAAATTTTATTATATATAAAAATGTTTTTGTCACAAATATTTTAATTCATGAGTGATTATTATAAAAATTATGACTTATTTTTAATTACAAGTGACAATTCATCATAAAAAATATGAAGTGTTTCTATGAATATTTATTGTTATTGTATTAGCAAGTTATAAAAATCAAATTAAAGTAGTTAGTTGTATAATATAATCATTTAGTGGCCAATTAACCTTCTAGCCCTCAAAAATTAACTCAGCTAATATAAAAATAGATAAACACAAATTGAATTGACCAAATAGATAAATATTAAAAAAATATATCAATGTCTAAATCATGGTTTGAACATGATCTTTTTCACTTATTATCATCATTGATTTATCTTTTGAATATTTATTTGTCTATATACTTACTTTTATAATTAATAATCTATTGATTTCTATTAAAAATTAATATTATGAGATAATTTAAATTATTTTTAATAAATTTAAAACTTTAAATAATAATTTATATATTTTAAAATATTTATTTTATAATTTTTAAGGATAATATAATTTATAAAATTATAAATATTTATTTATTACACACTTATAAATTAAATTTTAACATTTTAAATAAAACTAATTATATCATAATACTTTCATATCAAATTTAAAATCAGTTATTAACTATACAAAAATATTAAGATCATATTGTAAATTGTTGATAAGATTATAGTTAGATAATTTAAAATACTTAATTTATCAACTAAATTCTTATCAAATAATTTATTCTAGTTCTAATCAATTTTCCTCTATATTAATTATTAGTAAAAATTAAATTATATATTATTTCTTAGAATATTTATTTAAATTTTAAAACATTATTTTTATACTTAATATATTTTTTGTTATTATATAATATCATTATACTATAAGTACTATTTTATGATTGCATACATAGTTAAAATTATAGTTATCTTGATATATTAGTATATTATTTATATTCAAGGTATTTATCTCCTAATATTTATATATCAAATTAAATATTTGATTTATTATGTCTATCAATTCATTGTTATAAATATAAATTTAGCATATTAATTATATCCAAGCTATTTATCTCTTAATATTTATATATCAAATTAAATTTTTGATTTATCATCTCTATCAATTCATTGTTATAAATATAAATTAAATAGTTTAATTTTTTAATTTTATTAAAAGTTTTTCAAAATAATTACTTCTAGAAGATGTATAATATTATATATAAAAATTTAAATCTAATCTATACCCAAAACAAAATAATTGAATTATAATGCTAGACTCGTATATATGCAAAAATTTGCAATACAATAAACATAATTTGTAATTAAAAAATACTAAACATAATAATCATCATCAGTATCATCTTCCTCAATATTAGTACTTTCTTCATCTTCTATTAAATGAATATTCTCGTCGTCACTTTCTTCATCAATATTGTCAACAACTTCTCCAGGTACTATTGGTTTTCCATTAGCTGTGGATTGAGCTAAGTCATTCTTACTCAAAGACAGCCCTTGTTCATTATCTAGAGCATTAGATGTAAAGGGGAT